ACACGTATATGGCTTTTCACCAGTGTGCCTCCTCATGTGAACGTCAAGATAGAATTTCTTATTAAAACTCGTTTTACATAAGTCACATTTGTACGGCTTTTCACCGGTGTGTATTCTCATGTGATTGACAAGATGAATTTTCTCAGTAAAACGCGAGGGACAGAGGTCACAGCTAAATGGTTTTTCACCATTGTGGTACATAATATGTCGCTTAAGAGAAAACGCGCGTCCAAAATTCTTCTTGCAGACTTCGCATTGGAAGGACCTGCCGGTGCGCTTGCTCGAATTCGCCTGCACAGCGGCACTACGATTGCTTTTACTTCTACTCCCGCTTCCGGTGTACTTCCTGACGAGCTGCTTCTTCCGTAACACCAGCGAGGGCTTCTGGGCGTCCAGCTGGATGTTCTGCTTCGGCTGAGCATCAACGGTAGAATCACCCTGCCTGTTTGCGTCGTCGAAGGAAAACGCAACTCCTTCATCGCGCTGGTCGGGCTGTATCTCGCCGTCCCCGGGGCCTCCCCTCGCCGCGTCCTTTACTGGGCATTGCTTGTCCAGCATCGAGAAGCACGACGTCACCAGCAGCCCCAGCTGGTCAACGTGCTCCCGTTTGAGCTCGTCGAACTCGTCGCCCTCGTCGACGGATATCTCGGCAGGATTCTCCCTGCGGGACGCCCCGCTGCTGGGCGAGGAGCTGGGACCGGCACCTGGAACAAGAGCACCGAGTCAGACACGAGCGTGTGTGATCGAAGAAACACCAACCAACCGGCATGCACGAGCAAGAAACAATGAAACTATCAACTATCGACGGGTTGATGAAATCTGTAGACGTATGCTTTTATTCGTAATATAATACCACAATGAACTTACAAAAATGTCTTAATAACAATTTTTGTTTAAAAAATGCCTAAACTGGCTTTACAAATATAAATGAATTCAAAACAGATAACGTTAAATAGAAATACAAATTGTTTTGTGTCTATTGAGGCTTGTCTTTCGATTAAATGCCTTGTTACACACATCACACGTGTAAGGCTTTTCACCAGTGTGTCTCCTCATGTGATTGACAAGGGTGCATTTCTGAGTAAAACGCATTTTACAAGTGGCACACTTGTATGGCTTTTCACCTGTGTGTGTCCTTATGTGATCGACAAGATGGCCTTTTGTAGTAAAACTTACTTTACACACGTCACACTTGAAAGGCTTTTCACCAGTGTGTGTCCTCATGTGATTGACAAGATGACCTTTCTCAGTAAAACGCATAACCATTGTGGTACATTATATGTCGCTTAAGAGAAGCCGCGTGTGCAAAATTCTTCTCGCAGACTTTGCATTCGAAGGCCCTGCCGGTGCGCTTGCTCGAGTTCGCCTGCAGAGCGCCACAGCGATTGCTTTTACTTCCACTCCCGCTTCCGGTGTACTTCTTGCCGACCCGCTTCCTCCGCAACACCCGCGAGGGCTCCTGGTCGTCCAGCTGCTTGTTCTGCACCGGCTGCTGAACGTCAACGGTGGAATCACCCTGCCTGGTTTCGCCGCCGCGGGAAGACGCCACTTCTTCATCGCGCTGCTCGGGCTGCAGCTCGCCGTCGCCTTGGCCTCCCCTCGCCACGTCCTCCACTGGACATTGCTCGTCCTGCAGCGAGAAGCACCTGCACCTGCAGTCCCAGCTGACCACCGTGCTCCCGTTTGAGCTCGTCGAGCTCGCGGCCCTCGTCGACGGACACCTCCGCAGGATCCTCCCCGAGGGACGCCGCGCTGCTGGGCGGGGAGCTGGGATCGGCACCTGGAACAAGAGCACCGCGTCAGACACGAGCGTGTGCGTCGCCATGGTCCATGGACCGCCACACAACCGGCAAGCACAAGCAAGGAACGAAATGAATGTGTCGACGGGTTGATGAAATATGTAGACCTATGCTTTTATTCGTAATACAACAATAAACTTACAAAAGTGTCTTAATAACAATTATTGTTTAAAAAATGCCTAATCTGGCTTTACAAAAATATAAACCATTTCAAAAGAGATAACGTTAAATAGAAATACAAATGGTTT